CCCCCCCCCCCCCCCCCACACACACACACCTCAGGCAAGTCTTGGGGACTGGTTTCTGCATCAGGAGCTTTAGGGTCAGGAAAGTGGCTAAGCTGGTAGATCTCAGCCAGATCCAGGGGTACTGAAAACCCTGGACCCTAGCAGCTCCAGGCCAGGTACCACCAATATTTTCCTGGGTCCTGAAGGAGGCAATGTGCCCCTTGTGGCTGAAGATGAACCCCTGGCAGCAGCAGGGGCTGCTGCAGAGAGTCCGGTTGCCTGGAGTGTCCGGATAGTGGAGGTGTGCTTGCGTTCTCCTTCCCTTCCTCCCTGACTCTGATTCCTATGCTGTCAACTTTCTGGACTGGTGTTCTGGACACAGTCCCCGGGGAGTCCCACAAGCCTGGGGTACACTGAGAGCTCTTTGAACCTGCAGCTTTGTCTGCAACATTATTCTGTTCCCATATCAAATTCAGATGTAGTCTATTCCCAACTGACATGATTTTGTCTCTCTGCCCCAAGCTGGCCTTGCCTTTTCTCTAGTTGCTTACCCTCCACACATCTGCTCTTTCCCTAAAATGGATTGTTCTTGGACAGGTGGGTCTTGTCCCCATTACCTGGAACAGGGCCTGTCACTGAGGCATAGACATGGTGAATGATGAAAAGACTGAATAACTGACGTGGGAGCCTGTCTCCTAGAGCACTCAGAGAAAGGCTCAAGCAGAGGGTTATGCACCTCAGTGCGAGGTCTCTGGACCACTCACAGAAGAGAGAAATAGAGCTGAAGGCAAGGGAGCTAACCATGGGCTGGTTTGGGGAACTTCAAAGTCAGAAATTATACCCCTTGGAGTATGAGGCCCATTAGGGAGCTCAAGGAAGGTTGGCAAAGTCCTAGATACAGCAGGGCCTGCTACAGAAGCCATCCTCTGCTGTGAGCTGATGTCTGTGTTTTGTGTCCCACCTTGGCAGGGTTCAAGGTGACTCCCCAATTGGAGGGATGCCTCGATGCCCTTTTCTTAGGCCCCCAAGGAAAATGCACCAGACAGAAGAGACAATAATGAACAAGTGACACTTGGAACATATGCTCTAGGGACAGGATCTGAGACAGCCATGTGGTTACCAAAGACATCTCCCAGGCAGGGCTGACCTCCCAAGGCTATTGGGTAAACTAACAGCCAATCACTCTCCATCTGTGCATCCCCCTGCCTCCCAGCTCACACTAATGTTTCAGAGCACCACCCCAGCCTAGTCCACCCCCATATTCCTATAGAGGCCCAGTCCAGGCATGATCTCTGTCAGAACCAGGTTTGAATCCCAGCTCTGCCCTGTACGGTGGGACTATCTTGCAATGATGAAACAAGAAAAATCATATGTGCAAACCTGGCTTTGAGGTGACCATTGTAAATCAGACCATCCCAGATGGCAGTGTGGGAAGGGAAAGGAGGTCTGGGTGAACCTGGGCTGCTAGGCTGGCCTGCCTGCCTGCCTGCTGCCTGGGATCAAAACCCAAGGCTTGGGTTTGAATTCCAGCTCTCCTGCTCAACAGCCAACACCTGGGCAAGGCACTTATTTCCCTCTCTGAGTCTCATGTGCCTTAGCCGTGAAACAGGATGAGGTTCTTGTCCCATGGCTAGGGTCTGGCCTCTGCTAAGGGCTACCCGAGGAGGTTGGTGTCAGGGTGCCTGTCACTGTATGCTATGGACAATCACTGCTAGGTGCATTCCCCGAAAGCCTTGCTCCTCTGCCCTGTGAGGCCAGGCAAACTCCTTGTGCTCCATCTTGGCATGGGGATGTCTGGCTGGGAAGCAGGCTGGCAGGGCCTCTAGGTTTCCAGGCTGATACTGTCCCCTACTCGCCGTTTTTAACCTGACATCCACAGACCCTCCCCAAACTGTGGAGCTGCACAAGGGCCCAAGTCTCCAGCAAACACCAAAGGAAACCAGCATCCTGCCAGAGAGTTGAAGTCTAGATGGATAGGTGACACTGGATGGGGCAGTAGCCATCCTCTGTGGTGGCTGCCATTGTCTGTGGCATTGGCCCGGGGGGGGGGGGGGGGGGGTGTCCCCACACTATTGCCCCCAGTTGGCCACCCTCAACACAGGCTCCACAGTCAAGTGCCCACCCCAGAACCCAGCTGTGTGGCCACTTGCCTCTCTCCTCTCTCTGGCTAGCCTTTCCCATCCCTTGAATGCTGGGCCCCATTGTCTCAGTGACCAGTCTGTCTCAGTGTTCCTGGAGGTGCTGGCTTGGATACATTTCAGAACGGGGGTACATTCCAACCATGCTGGGGTATCAGGAAAAATGTGTGAGCACATGGGCCTCTCTCTCTCAGAGGGACTGGGTGGGCCTCTAAGTTAACTCTGCCTGTCCCCTTCCTCCCTAGGCCAATAGCCATGCCCAGCTCCCACAGGTCCCCAGTTCTGCCCCCCAGCTTGCCTTCTTGGCTCAATACCCATGCCCCTTGCTGCTCTGCCTCGAGGGCCCTACATACTCCAAGCTCATAGGGTGCTCTTCCTCAGTCTCTTCTGCTGTTACATTTGGGTCCTCAGTCCCCACTGCCAGGCCTTGCACTAAGTACTCCCACGGCATTTTCTGCCACCATCCATCCCAGAAATGATAATGCCAACTAATTTTATAGATGGGGAAACCAAGGCTCAGGGAAATGATTGTTCAAGTTCACTACATGAGCCAAGAGTGTGGTGACTCGAACCCAGTGCTGTCTGGCCGGTCTCATCTCACTCCCACATTTCCCTCCTCCTTTCCTGCTCCTGGTCATCCTCCCCACGCAGACTGACCAGCCTGGATTTCTGCAGCAGGCAGGCACGAGGTGTCTGCAGTGTTTCATCCCAGGCCACCGACTCCCCATCTAGTCCGTGTGGCTCCCTCACCGATCCGTTCTGGCAATGGGCCTGGGTCTTACCCCAACTGCCCTGGGACAGGAGTGCTAGTGTGTCCTGGAGAGGCTGAGGGGGGCAAAAGTAGCATCTGTGGGAAGGAAAGCCACTCTGCACCCAGCCCTGGCATTCAACCCCGCTGCAGGGAGCCCAGGTCCTGGAGAGGCCCATCAGGCTTTCAGCAGCCAACAAGAATCACAGAGAACTTCCTGCCTTAATGTGTAGATTCCCAAAAGCGTCTGCTGGCTCTGTGCCCTCCACCTGCTAGCCACAGGATGGCCCTGTCCTTCAGTTGCCCCCTGCACCAGGGCCCCTCTGCTAGCCCAGAAGGGGATCAGAGAGAAGCAGGGAGTGTGTTTGGTGCGATGGTGACTAACACCGCTGGGCTTCTGCCAGCAGGTCGGCTGTTTGGCTCAGAGGGATCTTGGGCCTCCTTGCCCTTGCACTGCCCACCGTTGCCCTATTTACCCCTGTATGCCAGCCTCCCCCAGCTCCTCCCTAACCTGAGTGTGCACTCTAGGACCAGGGGACCAGGTGTGGAGAGACCCAGTGAGACCTGGAACTGTGGACCCAGGGCCGTGGTGTGGGTACTGGGTGCAAAGCAGGGAATGAGGCCGAACCTGCCTGGGGTCTGGGAAGACATGTTGCCTCTGTCCCAGGGATGGGGAGGAAAGGCTTCTGCAGTGGCCCCGGATAAGAGGCAATAAAGTAAAGGAAAACTGGCTTGTGCCCTGTGCCCTCCTGGACCCTATCACGGCCCCCTTTCCCTCGACCTGGAGGAGGCTCTGCTTCGGTCCAGACAGGACAGGACCTGGATTTCACTTGGTGAATGCTAAGGTCAGGGACAGCATCCATCTGTCCCACCTGTGTTGAGGCTGAGACCCCCTCCATGGTTTTTCCTGCACCTGAGTTCTCGGGCGCTGGCTGTGGGAAGCAGGTGTCTGGTGGTCAGTGGTGCAGGGAGCATGGTAGTTGCTTTCTCTTTCTCTCTACAGTCTACTGGCCCAAATTTTGTCCCAGACCAGGCCTGGACTGAAGAAAGACTTTCCTAATGGCTCCCCCTGATCTCCCACTATTGTCCTTTCCTGTGTCGGTCCCTCCAACGCACCCCTCTGGGCCCAGATAAAACCCTAGAGCTGAGACCCCTCGACTCCATGGATCGGAGACAGGCCCATTCTGGGTGGGTGATATCAGCCCCTCCCCCAGCAGCCGACAAACATCCTAAGGGACCAAGACTCCCATCAGCTGAGTCCCCGACTTCACTCCATATGGGGCCTCAAGAGGCCTGGGGGAGGGGAATCTTGAACATACCCCCGCCCCCAATCTCAGCAGAGAAAGAGCTAGGAAGGCCCCAGGGGTCTCACTGCGCCCCAGGACACTCAGTCCGGGAACCACAGCCCCTTTCTGCTGCGCTGATCTTCAATAGCCAACTGCCTGCGGTCCCTATTCCCGAAAGGCACGGGGGTCGGGGGAGGCTTGGGTTCCGGCCTCTGCTTTTCCCTTCCAGGCTTCGCTATCGCGACTGAGCCTCCCAATCCGGCCACTTGTTGTCGCCACCGCCTCCCGGCCGCTTCGGCAGCGCACGGGTGGGGGGGTCCCTCGCAGGGCCGCAGAAGAGGATGAGGGCAGCCCCGCAGCCGGCAAGAGCGGGGCAGTCGCCCTCTCCCCTTCTCCCGCTGCCGAAGCAGATTGGATTCTGAACGCGACACGAGCGGAATGTCAATAGGA